TAGTATATATGGTATATGATGTGTATGTAGCCCACAAACCAAAGTGGACCAATTCATTTAATCATTATATCTCAATTAGGTTTTTGTAAATAGCAGGTTCTCACCCAGGCTTTCCACTCAAACTGTTGAGTAATGTTTGCATTGCTCAATACAATTTAATCAGACCATATTTATGCATATTTAAACATAGTAGGTATCTTAATAAATCTAATTAGTAATAATGTAGCTATCATGGCACTTATGTTCAGCTTTTTCATCTCTGACATATTTATGGAATCTCTAATAGGAAGTGATCCATAGCTGTACAAAAAATGTATTATTTGCATTTTTGGTCATGTATTATATGTTACTAACATTTCAATTAACACCTCTGTAATAATTGTTTTTTTTTCTCATTGTTAATTGTTCATCTTTCACACATTTTATTAGCTTTTTAACTTCATCATCACATTCAAAAATTATTTTTGCACGACTGTTAGTTCACTAATATTTTTGTTCCTTTTTTCATACTAATTTGTAGTCATTTGGGGGAAATATGAAGGTAAGTTTTGCTAGGAAATGTTTGTGGCTATGTGTTTTATAAAAGGGGTGTTTATGGAGTTTAAATACATTAATGTTCTTTATTGTTTAGTGTTAAAAATGCTATTTACTGCTGTATCATCTGTTCATATTATTATCTCATATCATATGTGCATGATCCAGTCATTATTTACCAGCATGATAAACTGAATATCTCAAATACCATGCATGTCATCATATTATTATATAAATATTTCAATATTAAGTATCATTAATTTAAATGTAAAAGAGAGTGATTTATGTTTATGTAGGTTAATTCCACCTAAACTATATGCTTTGGGGACACCCCTGTGTAAATAAATACATTTATTGCAGCTGATGTGGCTGAGTTTCAATCTAATGCAGGCATTCTGCAAATTTAAAGTCATCACTTTTGTTTTATGATTAACATTATTGTCCAAATTTATGATTTATTACTTTACTGTACATGTTATCTAATTTTTATCTTGGTATTATTTTCAGTCATTCTATTCTGTCCATGCTTCATCAATCATTCTTTAAATAACAAAATCAGTTCAATAATTGTTATCATCAGAAATTGTTACACAATAGTACCTGAAGACATGTAAAATTCTAGTGTAGTTAAATGTTGGGCAGATATTGTTGTATGTCATTTTGTTTTTCAGATCAGTTTACAAATGACCGACTGATGACCATTTTGTTTAGGAATGCTTTTATCTTTGGCACTTCTTTCCCACTCAGGTTCAGACTTCACATATACATTATGTCACACAAATGTACAAGCATTTGATTCATGATCCAATTCAAGATTCCCAATAATAACCATTTTAAAGATAAATATCATCAAAATCAAGCAAAAAATTTTATCATTTGGAATTTTATACATACTTGTAAGTTTGAAAATGGCAGACTGGTACAGTTTTTTTCACAAATGCATAACAGATACTTTGTCATGTCAATGACTTGCTGCTTATTGTTTTATTATAGACACTGTATGACAGCACTTCAAAAAGAGACGTCACGGAGTAAGAATCCAAATTCCTCCAAAGATGATGATGAGTGATTATTAAAAGTGGATGAAGACAGCAATTCAAGTTTCATGTGCAATCAATGATGGTCAAAGTAAATCAAGAGAACAATATATTTTCTTACCAGATAATTAACACAGATTAATTAAATGTTATTTATATCGAATGCTTTAATTAACACTAGCATATTCATGTATGTAACTTTATGTTGAACATAACATTTCTACTATAAATAGTATGATACTATGTTAACCTAGGAGCCGATTGGGAATATATTCAAATTAATCTTAAACATTTGAAAGTGAATGTATAGTGCTTTCAAATTTGAAAGTATCTTTTATTATTACTGAAAAACAAAAACATGTTAATGAAAAGAATTAATCTGGAAAAGAGAAACAACCATACACACTAGAACAGAACTAACGGTCAAAACAAATGTTAGTTTATGGAAACAAAAAATTAGCGTTTGTACTACTTAATACTTAATACAACTTAATTACTTTGTGGTGTTAACACATAATGTATTTATTTATATTCTGGATATATATCAGTATGTTTTTATATCATACATTCTGTCAATGCTGTATTGGCAGAGAATCTTCAACTTAGAATCATCCGAAAAGTACAAAAAATTGTACTTCTGAGATTTTGTTGTTGTGAACCGACCTGAATGAAAGTTATACAAAATGCACATCGCACGCTGATCACAAATACAATGTAAACAACTAGCGATTTATTATTTATTATTGTTTAAATTTTCGGGACTGTGGCATAAATATATACATATCATCAATTTAGGATGTATTGTCTACTATTTGTTTAAAGTAATTCGTTTTATGTACACAACGTATAGAGAAATGATGTGTATATATATATATTCAATAAAGTGGACCAAGCAATAATCAAATTATTTAAATAGTTAGCCAATTTGTTTTGAAATTGATTAAACATTGTAAATATTGTATTGGTGCGATTCAATGATTACTCGATTTCAGAATTCCTCTCAATACATTCATCACACGCTACATAATTTTATGTACACATACACTTCACTTCTATCACTTCCAGCAGTGTTATTGCAAAATCTTACGATGAACGATTAGAACACTTGCAGTTACAATCAATGTAATTGTCTTTTTGAAGCGACACATCATTGCGGTTCACCATGCTCAAAATGTGATCTATAAAATGCGTGTGAAATGCATTGGCTGTGACACTTGTTAATTGGAATTGAGTAAAAGTGTTACTATAAAGTTTGTATTCAAATTATGATTGATCAGAGAACATAATTGAGTTTGGGTGGCATTTGTACGTAATTTATTCTCAAGCTTCTGTTCTCTTTGTCTGCCTTGCGCCAAACTTAGCCGTAATATTACATTAATATTTAAGTGTATTTCAGATTATTATTTTGCCTCCAATTTTAATAATCTTGCCCCCGCAAAGTTACACATACACTTGTAAATCGGCTCTGAACAGTTTCAATCTATGTCATATAGAACAGAATATAGAATTATTATATCTAAAACTGCATTGATCCAATAAATCAGTATTTCTCGTTAAACTATATTTTTTACGTAACGCCGCGCGTCAGTCGATACTCCAACTGTACTGTATTGGTGCATGCTTTAAGGTATTCTCGTAATACCCTTATTATTATACATCTTTTCCTTCCAAGGTTACACCTTGGGAATGCCGAAATCCAAAAAGTTTAGAACAGAATCAGCGAACGTCTTTGTGTGGAGTCCGGTCAAACCCCGATGGCAGCCATGTTTGTTTTTATTATTAGAAGACGCTTACGCGCGTAATCATTCCATATTTGGAATTCGCATTTTCTTGTATGCTAGGATGAAAATACCCCGTAAAATACAGCAAAATTACGGCACGCTGTAACTTATGGCGTTACTTTGACAGATGTATAATAATAAAATAGACTGTACATCAATAAAAATCACTAGAATATCAAATATATATAAAGAATGCTCAATTGAAAAAAACAATCATGATAGTCCATATATTAACAATTGACATAAATACAATGCTTGTTTTCGAACATTTACCATAATCAAGACAAGTAAAATTGAAGGTATTGCAAAATAACTTATGTATTACTAAAAGATTAATTTAAATAAACTGTCTTGCCTAGCATTGTTGGCTTTTTAAATATTCTAACTTGTCTGCCATATATAGTATACCATGAAGTTTATAATATGGTTATCACTATATCTATTCCACACACTGTGTAATCAGTCTTTGTGTTATGTTCATATCTCTCTGTAAAACGCTGAAATATTCATTACCATTTGTCTGTAATTGGTGCAACTCTTTCGTTAATTTGTTCACCTTTCGTTCGAGATGAGCAACGTTATTTACCAGGGTTGTCTGCACCTGCTCCAAACTATACACATTAATTTCCTTTTCTCTTTTCAGAAAACTTTCTCTTATAAATTCATTTATTTCGTCCACGGATTTTATTTGGCTGGGTTGTATGTCACTGTTTGACAGTTTTCGCATGATTGTGGAACGGCGTCGTCCTTCTCTGTAGCCAACCACTATTTTCAACCATTTTGCTATCTCGTTGCCACGGTAAAGCTTTCAAATTGTCATTATCTTCTTCACCGCCCTTTGTAACTTGGAATTTCTAAAAAAAAAATTGAAAACCTTTCAGTGGAAAATACATATTGAACACACAAATATATATTGTTTTCAAGAACCAGTGCGTGCGTCTGAAACTAGATAAATAATTGCGATGGGATAATGTGCAGATCCGTACATATTATTGAATGAATTTGCATATTAATTAGCAAATTTAAAGGCGTAACACTTTTTACGCCTGATATATTTCAATGAAACTGGATTCATAGAGGTTTGGGGTAATCCATATCCTGATTATTTTTATTTGTGATCTGTGCATTGAGCCAATTGTTAGCATTGTCACTTGTTTTTCAAGTACCATTCAACAAATGGAATGATGTCCAAACCTGTTTATTTTTTTTATATCCGTGCATATTAAAGACCTAATTTACTTTTTACATTTTCACTTGTTTTTCAAGTATCATTTAACAGATATCAACGAAAATTGGTAAATGAAACTTGGGATGATGCGCAAACCTGATTATATTTTGATTGAAATCCGTACATATTAAAGACCTATCTTGCATATTATTTAGCTAATTATAAGTATTTTCACTTCTTTCCCAGGTACTAGTCAACAGATTTCAATGCAACGTGGTACATGGGTGCTCTGAGATAAGCCATATATTCGTGTAGATTAGGGCTAACTTTGTGCTTACTAATTACCTAATTTGCATAAATTAACCAGTTTATAGGTACTCCACAGAAATACTCAATAAAACTTGATATATAGCTGCTTTTTATATAATTCACAGATTTGATTACTCCATGGGTTGAAATCCATGCATATTAATTAGTTACCCAATTTGTATAATTGCATGTGATCTCATTAATATGCAAGACTAATATCTCAAGCACTGTTGCAGTCGTACATGCATTCGGTGTTTTATTAAAGGAATCAGAAAATGTATATGGCGAATGGTATATTAGATGACAATATGTGGTCATGTGAACTGATTAATATGCATAACTGTAATGCAAATAGTGACATACAACCAATTCTATAATAAAGGCATCGGAGAAGAGATAAGATTAATGTATCATATGACTATATATGGTTATGTGACCTCAATAATATGCATAACTGTAATATCTTAGCTACTGTTGTAATATGGACATGCAACTAGTGCCGTAACTATGCTGTCGGTCAAGATATATGGGCAAAAGTTATATATAATTTTGTTAATTATTTATTATACCATATCCACTTAGAAACATCCTGATCACTGCTTGCAATTATGTTTGTTAATGCTATAATTACTCTATTCGAAACATTTCAATGATTGTGAATGCAATAAATGCATTGTTTGTTTTATGCATTTTGGATATGTACTAATATAGCAAACACAGTATCCCTTGTTGTACAATACCCTCAGCACATGGGAGTTCTTTATAAGCTTTCTTTGATAATTTATTCAGTATTCTAGGCGAGATGATATAGAACCACAGCTGGACCGACTTGAGATTTCACTGGAATAACTGTCATGTAAAATATGTTTAGAAACATTACTCACATTACACTTGCCACAAGTCTTTCTGCAACACCTTCGCAATAGGTGGATCACTGCTGTGATTATCTTGTATGTATAAAGTATAAGATTCCATGGCACCGGGGCGTCCCCGCCATCTCGAAATTCCATTGTTAATCTAGCACGCTCGTAGTTGTACATAATTGTTGCGTTTTCCTATTAGTGTTTGAAATCAGGAATGCATAGTAAGCATTTACAGACAAGAGGATTCAACTTGTGTAATGCTGGCAACAGTATAGCGCGACTACAATTATTGAAGGGATGAACACGAAATGGACTTGTAGCGTTTTCTATGTTTTATTGTGAACTTCTGCGTCGTTTAGATATATTAATAAAAAAATAAACGTTTTCTTTATCAACTGTCGACAACAAATGAAAAATAAATAAATATCGATACATTGAATGTAAAAACATTCGTGTCTCAGTGACGTAACTAGAGATTATTTTGGAATAATCATTCAAATGTTAATCAGAGAAGGCCATTCACAATACAGACTGAATGATTGGGCACTTATGTAGTTCCATTGTATACTTAAAATAATGGTCATAGATAGTACGGTACGTTACCTCTATACGGTTATATGTATCGCTCATTTTGGCAATTAGCATATTCAATATGACAACAACAGCCAGTAAATTATAAAGACCGAAGAGAATTTTTCCAATAGTTTCAACAGGCCGGAAGTCAGTGTCGAATGAGTCAATGTCACCTAGTCCAAACAAAGTCCAGAATAGGTCTTCTATTTGAGCGAATAGCCTACAAATACATAGTCGTTTATTAGATTAGCTGATAATATTTAAAAATCATGTATATAATGTTTCTACTATAACCAACTCATACACATGACATATGAATTCTAAATCCCCTTAAGTAAGACTTCGGTGGACACACTGTATATATGAAATGACCCTGTGGTGAGCGTGCAGTAAAATGCATACTCCAAAGAAACGATGGACCACACATTGTACAAATGATAATCAACAAAGGGAAACGAAATATAACACACGAATCCAACGTGTCTTGGAGACTTACTCCAGTTTCGTGGCATCATTTTTATGGTATGTCCATATTTAGCATATTTTGAGTTAAGCTATAGTGCAATGACTTACACGGCTCCGCCGATATCATATCTGGCCTGTGTGTTGTTAGAAACACTCTCATCCGGTCCTGATCCGATCTCGCCATTATAAGTACCAGATAGTAAAGAGTACACCTTATGTTTGGAATCAAAACAAGGATAATTGAAAATACATGAAATAATTACATTATTGACAGATTAAATTTACAATTTTTGTTACAGTGAATGAATAATACCTTAATAATAGAGAGACTGAAAGCCAACAAACCAATCAACAAGAATATGAACAATTGACCAACGTCGTAAAACATACGGGCAAAGGTCAGCTGCAAGAGACCAACACCATGACTTGCTTGAAGAAAGAGCATGAGCCTGAAAAACATAAATCATGTGTATATTTCATGTTCCAATATTCACATATAATACTTGATATTTACTTAAGGTGTCAGGATTATTATTTGCATTTATATTTTCAATTTACCATGATGACAAAACGACCGCTAACAGACCAGGAAGTGCATATATGTTTTAAATCACAATACGCCACGTTTTTGATAAATTTAATTTTTAAGTCAGCATCGGCATTCTGTGACATGTGGTACATCTAAATGTAAAACAGTATTATTACTCCTCAGATGAAAACAGAACGCAATTAAACATATGGTTGGAATTTCCGACAAGTTAAGTAGACTGGTGAACTAAGTGAGTCTCTCCAGCTGTACACATGCACGTGCATTTGTTTTATAACAGTAACACGCCAAAGTGTAAGGCAATGTTTAGACGCACAGAATACACGTATTTTTGCTCATATTAACAACACATACTTACCTGAAAAAAGCTATGAGTGTGACCAGAGCGATGCCGATACTTGCACTAACAGCTAACTCATTCTGCTCAAGTCCTATGCCTACAGCAATGATTACGATATCAAATGCCATTATTGCAGTTAGACATGTTAGCATTACAACATCAAAAACATTGGCCATAGAACTGAAATATTCTTTGTATGACGGAGACTCAATAAACTGCTTTATTTCTTCTACAAAGTATCCAACAATAAAGACGGAGAGAAAATAATCCACAACTGGTAGACTCTCGATGCTATAGTAGTCTGTGTGGGTGACGCATTTAATTAACAATAGAACGAGGAACACCAGATAGGAAACAAGATTGGCATAAAATAGCATATACGGACAATTCTTCGAGACAACGAAAACAAAGTAGAAGTAATTGGTGACGTTGTTGTAGATGCATTTGCAGCAACTGCCTTTACAATAACCTGTGCAACAGTCACGTCTACATCGTCCTCGACAGCAACGACGGTTAGGGTGAAAATCAATGTCATCAATACTGCTTCGTCTCCGAATATCTTCGGCGCGAACGCTTCGCTGAATCCCACGTTTACGTTTGTTTTTCTGAGACCATTTGTAAAACGGCAAACAGCATAAATATAACAGCATAGCTATAGGTAAGATGATAGGGGTCATGACGTAGAGGAACCCATACAGTCGTATCTTAGAACTGTGGACGCTGCCATATATGTCGTACATTTGACCTACCCAGACTTCGCGGAGGTAACGTTGTGTAAAATTCGCTGAAATAAACTGTAATTATATATAATTATACAGACTTTGGTGATATGACTACTATGTATCACGTCGACTCAGACTATTTTACTTCATGTAAAGTTAAGTGTTCAACACGTACACTGTTAACTATAACTTGTTTTCATGTTTGTCATTGACGTTAGATCTATATAAATATAAGAATGGTCTTAGAAACGTGATCGAATCTTTGAAGATGAAATGCAAGCAAGCGGTATGAACTCATTACACATAATGATACACATTAGCTATTATTGGGTATTTAATTTCCACTGTATATGTGTTTTTCATATGCAAGGACCGATCGGAATGCAACATATTTTAACATGAAACAGATTAATCATGAATGTACTATGATGAAATTATTTGCACGTATCAGTTAATCGACTTAATTAGCTGATTACTAGCGAATGGCTGTGTTATGTCTGTCATCATTTAGGCCCATGCGAGGTACTGGACTGAACTTGGTTCAGTGATTTGGAACTAATTACGATATAACCATCGCTATTCGGACTACTATTTCTGACAGTTGGTATTCGCAAGTAGTAATATAGTGAACGATTAATTAAAAGATATGACGTGTCCAGTACTTAGTGTGATTGGCTGTATGATTGAAGGTTACGCCCTAGAGTCGTTATACTTCTGTGTATTGGTTAAGGTTTCGAAAGTGAATAAAGAGAGTTTTAGTTGGTCTTGGCGAGTACACGAGGTGAGACGCAGTCTTGGGCAGTCTTGAGAGCAGTCTAAGAGCAGTCTTGGGCTAGTCTTGGGTCAGCCTTGCGATAGTCTTGGGGACTTTTCCCCAGGGCGCTGTGTCTTATAGAGTGCTCGACTGACCGACTAAGACGAGAGTTGAAACGTATTTTATTGTGTGCGTCTATTTGACTGTAAAGTTTAAGTGACGTTCCCGATCCCGTACCTCAAGGGACGCGATAGAAAGACAGGACGAGATTCCCCCCTGGCACGTGTGGAGAACCCAGAGGAGAAGAATTTCCCCCTGATAGTACCTTCTTGTGTTTATACTCCAAAGAATAACTAAGCAGGTACTCGTCGTTATCCCGGATAAGAGTGTTAGCACTGATTCTACCTGGGCATTGGTTAAACAATCTCACCGCCAGCTCGTCCATTTTATCTGCAAGTTCTTCATAACTTTCACGCTGATCCTTTGAAACAAAGAACATAATACAAAAAAACTGTTGGTATATGAGGTTTTATCAATACAAGAAGACATTGTACAGATTTATCAGCTGGCAACACTCTTATTTGCAAAATTTTCAAATGGCAATCATATATTTTGTTATTAACAGCTATAGCAATAAATATTTTCTACAAATGTACCGCACCTTTTTCAATTTAGAAATCTTCTTAAAGACTGATGAATAATGTAAGGCCGTCTTCACAGGATGTGGACTGGCTGCAACGATATCTGCTTTTCCTAACTTTCCGGCAACGTTTAGATCACTGGTTACTGGGTCATTCTAAAAGAAAACCTTTGTTATTACGCTATTATGGCTACAAATGCATATGTCATTGTTATTATATGTCTTTGGCAATAACATACTAAATGAGTGTAATAAGACAAATTGCATAATGCAAAACTTACAGCCACAAACTTGACGAGCGTGTTATGGTACAACATTTCTATAGGAGTTTCTTGCCATTTACCACACTTCAATACAGCATCTGCTCTATGATTAAGTAGAACACTCATTACGTCCACCTTTTTCAGCATAGCAGCACGATGTAAAGCTGTCAACCCATCTGAGTCTACTTCATTGATTGACTTATCCCCTGGGCAAGGCACTAATATTTTCACCAGCTCCTCCGTATTGTTGTTGTCTTTGTCAACAACTAACACGTGTAAAGGCGTCTGCTCCAATTTGTCTCTGGACAGAGAACAGGCACCATTGTCTATAAGACCCTTCATTATTCGTGCATCTGCTTGCTTTGCTGCATAATGAACCGGTGCAGATCCGTCATAATCTATCATTTCCAATTCCGCACCTGTATTATAAAACAGTTTATCAACACAACCTTTCCAATAAATTACGACATCGAGCGAAGAAGCTCTCTGCTGTAAAGTAGGCTCACATATCAGCCACATATATTGGTAGAGGCAGTATAATTTACGATGACAAATTTGTTTTATCTTTGCTAGTCGTATATAACATTAAACTATTACTTGTTTTATGTACCTGCTGTTTGTAGTTGTTCTATAACTTCAACCGCATTCTCACTGCTCCCAATAACGGCTTCATGTATTGGTGCCATTCCCATATTACATTGAACATCGCTGTCAGCACCAGCAGATAATAGTATCTCCACACATTCAATACTACCCCGGGAACTAGCGAAGTGCAGAGCTGTCTTGCCATGACTGTCCTGTGAATTAACATACTGAGATCGGTCTTGGCAGAACCGCAACATAAGATTGGTCATTGGTACAACATTGACGTGTCGTTGCTTCATAAGAAGATGTAGCGGCGTGGTGCCCTGGTTGCTGTGGTTTAAATCACCTCCTCGTACAAGGAGAAAATGTAATGCAGGTACATTGCCAGTTTTTACCACTTCATGCAGGGCGGTCCATCCATCTTCATTCACAGCATTGATATTTACATCAGGAACTGAGAAATGAAGAAACAAATTACATTAAACTTAAGACTTAGACTTCAAATGAATTTAGAGACAATTATTTAAGTATATCCCAAAAAAGAATATATTTTTGTGACAAAAACCTAAGATCAATTAACCATTTAACATACTAATATAACACTCTACGTGAGAAATACTTTGTTGCATTTATTTTATTATCGATATGTACAATATTTAAATGTATTTGATAATGTATGCCTGCGCAAAACATATTTTGTTTGTTTTAGTCACTTATCATACAAACTTGTTAAATCTGTCGAAACTTGTTATTAAAAAGAAGAACATCATATCAGGTGTTCTATCTACATTTCAGTGGTTCTTTCTATACAAAATCATGTAACACACTATTAATAAACGACGCGATGGGGATACAGAAAGCCAACTAAAACTTGTCAAAATCGCAGTGTCAACTTCGTTATCGTATATCAACTATAACGGAAATTAACGACCACTGGAAAAAATAGACAAATTATAGATGGATGGATGAAAAGTGCAATTAAATTAATTACCATGAATTTTACAAATGCTCAATGTTAAATGAAAAATGAATATACATATCAATAAAAAGTAGGTGAAAGCACCTAGGACCGATACATGTAATGCATACAATGTGGTAGTTGGTATTCTTGCTTTTTAGATGTTTTCCAATGGCAAGTGAAGAACGGAATGCGAAATGTCTATATTCATTTTCAGTTTAGATGTCGTGCTATGATACAAAATGAATTACTGCTGTTATAAACGCGTTTTTGTTGACAGATTATTGAAAATTCTAAATGATCCGAGAAAATAAGTAACTCTCACCTATTGCGAGTAGAAGCTCTATCTTTTTAACTACATTGCCCAAGTTATTAGAAATCAGTTCGCTCACTGAGGAAGCTAGTTCATCGATGGTTAACTGGTCACCCAATTCCTCTCCGAGCACCGTGGCAAGTATGCTCATTCGACGATCTGATCGACTGTCTTCTCTCGCCAGAACTGCCTAAGTTTTAGAAAAAAAAACATATACATCTTCTTATATCTAGCGCCCGCAAGCAACGAAATGCTTCTCTGACATTAATGGTTGACACGACGATGTTGTAGTTTTGAATTATTGCCGTCAATCAATAAAGATTATGTTTTTGAGCGGTTTTAATATATTTTACACGAAAAATTACTACACAACAAACTAAACGAAGTGGTTCATTTGAGCGGCATTGCCTTCATCTATATACGGCATCACATGAGCGTCCAATCACTGAAGGACGCGATCTTTAGGAATAGTGTATAACAAGTGTTACACTTCTCACAAACCAGTTCTATATACACCATAATTTTCAGAAAATTGACAACAAGATATGTTAAAACATAAT